AAAGGCAATCCATATACACGGATCCAAAATATCTCTCTAGCGAAATTGTAATCCTCTGGCCTTAGGTTCCTATCATACTCCTTGAAAAGGATTAGCTGCTTGTCAAACGACCATGGTAAACCCTCCAACACTCTCTTCTATCCATCATCGTGGCAAACTTGAATAAGAACCTATTTTCTTCCAGATCTACTGTCTCTGCTTGCTTGGCCGAACGCCATAAGAGCCTTAAAGTTTCTTTCATGGCCTCAATGTTGCAAGGCCTCTTTGTGAGTAACATTCCTACTAGCCAAGCTCTCCTCTTTTCTTTTTGAAACCTTTTATCACCAATATCTGACACCACATGATCCTTCTCCTCCTCCATTAATTTTAGGTTCTTCTAAATGAGTCCAACACATCCTCCATCACTTATTTTCAGCGTTAACTACAAACGATTACTCTCAAAATACTATATACTGTCTATGATACTACAAAAAACTAAAAAACTATAACTACCTCAAAGATGTACTAGCCCTTAGCTGTCCTGAGACAAAAACTCACTTGCCATCCTAACAAGACTCCTATCCACCCATAAAAGAAAACCCTAAGGAGACTCCCAAAGCCACCACTTGGATTAATCCTTTTTATCATATGAGTCTTATTCATTTGTCTTGAAAGAGTGTGCTGAGTAAAGAATAATATGGATTGAATAAACATATGGATCTTACTCGTTTGTGTTGGAAGATAGGTTGATATATAATGCTATAATATTTTTAATTGAACTTTTAAGTTTAATTTATTATTTATATGTGATATAATTATAGTCAAATTAGAATTATCTTATTCATTACAATGAAAAATTTTATATTTCAGAAGATTTAATTTAATAATTTATTTTATTTTATTATAATATTACATGTTGTCAATAAATAATAAAACTAAATTAATTTTAGTAAAATATTTCGTGTTTCTATCACTATTTTCTTTTCTCTATTTAATATGCATGAAGGTGCATTTTTTTTTTTTTTTTGCTTTTCAGTTTTCCAAATTTTTAGCTAAATTTCCTTTTATCTATATCTCTGCAATGTTTAAACTATTTGTGCTTGTCAATGTTTTCTTATTTCTTTTTTTTGGTCCAATTTGCTTTGAGGTGGATTCCTTAAATTTTAAAATTTAGATTATTTTTTTAAAATATATATTTTTTGGTTATATCAAGGTAAATTCTTAGTACAAGTAAAAGGAATGGGGGAGACCTGATTCAAAACCAGGCCCTTAATGTCCCCTTAAACGCCTTTGGCCACTAGGCCAAAGTCTTGGAGACATAAATCTATCATTAATTTAAAATTAGCTACAGCTCGTAAAGTAACAACATCTATCATTTTAAGATAAAGAGAAAATTTGCATGTTTTTTAAAGTTATAATTGAGATGTTCGGATTATTGTGGCAAATGAAATTTTGGATGTTTTATTTATCAATTAGTTTGTAATCCATGCAATGCATGAAATAATTTTATTTATTAATTAAAATATTTTAAATTTATGAAATCATTAATTAAATATATTATTACAAATAAACTAAAATTATTATATTAAAATACTTACCAACAGATAAATATCAGTCCACAATAAAAAATTTTATGTTACTTATAAATAAGAAATTACTTTAGACTCGAAAGAAATTACTTTAGAATATAGTTGATCCCTCATTATCCAATCTGGTATAATTCTAATTAAGATCAATTATTTAGATGTAGGAGACCATACTCAAGTTACAAAATAGTAAATAATTAATCTAAGAATTTTTTAATTGAAAATTTTTTAATGATAGAAAAGGTTGCTATCATTAGTTTCAATAAGATAATATTTTGCGGCTTAATATCCTTATGCACAATTTATGTTATTACTTTTGAGGCTTTGAAAAAAAATGTGTAAATAAAAAAGTTAAAAGGATCAATATTTTAAAATACAAATGTATAATAATAATAATAATAATTATTATTATTATATTCTTTGCTCTCATTTCTCCATTTTTTATTTGATATAAAGATTATAATAAAAAATAGGACTTACATGTTAAAAAATTATTATAGTGAAGTTTCATTTGATTAAAAAATAGTAAGTCCAAGATTTACCAATTATTTAGCATTTAAGTAGGGTTTTCGAAAGGTTAGAATCCATATGTAGCATAAAAAATTTAGTGAATGAAATTAATATTATTATCAATAACATAAAATCAATTTCTTTATTCAATGTTTTTTTTTTTTTTGAGCTAGTAACAAAGAAATATACCTCCAAATGATATTATGAGAAGTGTAATATTGATCAAAACATAGAAAAAATAATTAAAAATGTGAAGCAAATAAAAGAAGTATTGGAAATAAACTATGATATTAAAAAATAAAATTAAATAAAAAAATTTTACATACCTTAACTAAACATCAATCTTGATTAGAAATATTAAAAAATTAAAAATATTAAGATATTTGTGCTAAAAGTGGAAGAAATGAAATGAAAATAATGTATTTATTGTGAGGTTATTAGAAATGGCACTATATATTTCATATCTGACCTATACTTAATGCAAGCTAAGTAAAATTAGTAAAATCATAATGATTTAATTGAAAATTATTTAATTTTTAACAATTAGTATTTGAATTTTGGATTTAATATATTGATGATAAGAATGAATTGAGATATTTGTTTTTGTGTGATTTAAATTAGGATAAAATTGATATATAAATTAAGAGATTTGAATTAACATAATTTTAAAATTTTAAAAAATTTTTAACATTGAATAATTTATTAAATAAAATTTATCTCGTTAATAATTAAAATTAAGGAATTATCTTACTTTTTTTAATTAAAGAATTATCTTAGTTTTAAATAGTACATATAAGTATAACAATGCTTATTTGGATGAACATTTAAAACTATTTTATACGTCATTAAAATAAATTATACATATAAGATTATATGTAAGTAAGTCTTATCAAGTAATTTTGTATATTGTCATATAATATATATATATATATATGATTTATTTATCTTTCATTTTTCCTTAAATTTTAAGAAAATAATATAATTATGAATAATTTAAAAATTTTTTAAAATATGTGCATAATTAATCAATATGCATTTAAGAATTTAGTTGAAAATTTGTTATTTTTTGGACCAAAAAAGAAAAAGAGACTTGAGAGAGAGAGAGAGAAAGAAAGGAAAAAAAAAAGGTTTATTAAAAAAATAAAAAGAATATGATTCTTTTTTCTTTTATTTTGATTTTTTTCTCTTATTTCATTTTTTCCTATTTATTTTTCTTAATTTTTATAAATATTTTTAAATTTAAATAATTATAAATAATTTTATCAAATCATTTATAATTTTAAAAATAAAAAATTAATACTACGCTACGGAACGCGGGGAAATTCATTAGTATGATTCTAAGGCCTATTTGGGTTTGATTGTTGCTCTGATTCGTGATTTATCAACTTTTTGTTGTAATTCCCACATTTCAAATCATTAGGATAACAAGTAGTGCTGTGAGTGACTACACTAGATGAATAATTTTGGACCGGAGGTATAAGGGTTCAATGAAGCACTGCAGGCCGTATTGCCTAGCATTAATTTTTTTAGTTCTTAAACATTTTTTTTTGTTTTTATTTTGTGTTTATATTTAAATTAGTTTATTTTGATATTTTATATTTCATATGTAATAGTCGTTATAAGTATTATTTCTTTAAGTATTAAATATTTCAAAATATTTTTATAAATTTTAATATTTAAAATCTTAATTATTTTAATATAAATAATGTGTAAATATTTCTATGAACTAAATTAACATTTTAATGTAAAAAAACATTAAAATATATATAAATAATTTATCAATACATTTTTAAAATAAATAAAATTATTTTTTTTTAATATGAGTAAATGTATTATTATCTTTTAAGAAATAATTATGATTTTAATATAAAAATTATCATATAAACAAATATCAAAAGTAACTAATTGAATATTATTTTGTTAAGTTTTAATTTAAGTAAATATATCATTATCATTTTTTAAATAAAATTATTATTTGACGTAGAAATAATGTTAATAAATTTTAATTATTTATTAACATATATAATAAATAATTTAAATTTTTTATTATATACTAACTTTAACATAATGTTTTTAATAGTTTTTTTTCTAACTACAATTCACTTTACTGCTATTATTACATTTGTATCCAAACATATATCAAATCACTAATTCTAATTCCATCGTTATAATAATTAATTTTATATACATTATTATTTTTAATTTTATCAAAATTAATCTCATTGTTAATTTAAATAAACTCTAAACCTAACGTGATTATTAATTGCTTATGGATATGCTTTGATTCTGTAAAATGGATTTTTTTTTTAAATTAAAGGTCAGGTTAAAAGTGAGTCAAGTATTTTTGTTTTTAATAAGTTATAATTGAATTAGGGATGAGTTTTAAAATATTTTATCCCGATACATAAAAATATATAACTTTTATTATTTATTTAATTTTATAGTTTTTTATATATTAATAAAATTGTTATTATAAATTTAATAAAAATATTATATTATAATTAAAATATAATTTATAATAAAAATAATATTTTTATAAATATGATATTAAATTAAAATTATTAAATTAATATATAAAAGATCAAAATTAATTATAAAAATAATAATTTGATATCAAATGATAAAATAGTTTAACAGCTGGAATCGGGAATCCCAACCTGTTGACATCTCTACCGATATGTATACAAAATCAATTATAAAAATAATAATTCGATGTCAAATCGAATTGAAATAAGATAAAATAGTCTAACGGTTGGAATCGGAAATCCCAACCTGTTGACGTATCTACTGATTCCCAGGATTGTCTTACACTTCAACGAAGCCCAATAGCTTAGAGCTCTATAGAAGGCCTAAGCCTGTACATAACAACTATGCATACATATGGCTAACAAGGAGTGGTTTGTTCTCTTACTTTCATAACTTTACAGTGACTTTGTCGATGCCTAGCATTATTATAAGTTCAATAAATATCTAATTTTACTTTGTTCTTTGGTTTTTCACATTTTCTCTTGCTTATCAATTAATTTTGGTCTGTTTCTCCAAGGTTCTGGTCCGTCCTTTCTTCTGTCTCTATTGTCTTCTCCTACCTAGAATTTGATTCACTTTGGCTGCAAATTTAACTGTAAATTCAATCACCCAAATGCATATGAATATCAATGATGAAGATCCTAAAAGCATTTGCTGAATGTCAGGTCTGAGGTCTGCCCTTCAGTTTGTTTTTCCCACACACTTATGGAATTCCCAAAATTTATTAACTTGCCTTGTTTTTTCTTCTCAAATCTTGGAAAAGCATCAAATTTTGTGGTATTCTGTTAAATTAACAATCTGGGTCTTTCTTGATTTCTGTAATTTTTCTGAAAATTATTTCCTTTTCGTAATAGAACTCTGAACGCTTTTGTTTTAAGGCGTTATATATATTGGTTTTTGGCCTGTTAGATCATCCTGTTTTCATTTATTTATTGATGCAAAGGTTCTTGCTTGAGTGATATGGTAGGAGGAAGACTTAAAAGAATAAAAAAATTTACAAGGGAACATTTAGGATCTTTGCATTTCTTTATTTTATTGGTGTTTGCTGCTATGCAACTTCCCGTTGCTTTATGTTAAAGTGGTGTTATCCACGTCGGTTAAGTATTGAGTTTCGGTATTAGAGTCCAAGTTCTATTCTTATGTTCTTGCATGTTACACTGCCTTTTATACCTTCTTAATTGTCACATGTTAGGCTTCTGTCTCCGCTTACACCTGATGGAACATGTTAAAGTGATGTTATCCACGTCGGTTAAGTATTGAGTTTCGGTATTAAAGTGATCTTTGCATTTCTTTATTTTATTGGTGTTTGCTGCTATGCAACTTCCCGTTGCTTTATGTTAAAGTGGTGTTATCCACGTCGGTTAAGTATTGAGTTTCGGTATTAGAGTCCAACTTCTATTCTTATGTTCTTGCATGTTACTCTGCCTTTTATACCTTCTAAATTGTCACATGTTAGGCTTCTGTCTCCGCTTACACCTGATGGAACATGTTAAAGTGATGTTATCATATATCTGTTAAGTATCGAGTTTCCTATGGTCTTATACTCAAATTAGGTCTCTCCACCTATTGCGAATTGGTTTTTTGTTGGATACTTTCCTATGGTCTTATATTCAAATTCGGTCTCTCCACCTATTGCAAATTGGTTTTTTGTTGGATACTTAAAAGTTCCCACTCACGTAAAAAATCAGTGGCTAATATATATATATATATATATATATATATATATATGTATGTATATATATGTCTTTGAAATAGCTTCTTTTTTGTTTTAAGTTTGTAGTTAATTAAATTTATGGATGGATGTTCAAAGGTTTTGAGAGCAATTTGGAATGCTGATTGTCTGATACTTGATGCTGTTGTCTGCATTCACATGTATTGGTGCACCTTGATCTTTCATGCAATTTGTGTTTATGGATTGGAGTAACTTTGTTTTTCCTTACTTTTCAGGTTCCTCGGATTTTATTGAAATGTTCAGTGGGAACCATTGCTCTGGCAATGACCTTAATATTTTAGTAGAGATTCACTATTATTCGCAATGCAATTAGTATCAAATGATAGTCAAAAGGAAGACATTTCAGAAAGTGAACCCATCTTATGCCAGTCTGATATTTCACAAAGATCTGAAGAATGTTCATCTTCATCTGAAATTACAACAGTTGAAGGGTATTGTGTTGTTGTTAGTGATGATTTGGAAGATATTAATGCTGATGAAACTAGCCATCTGGTGAATGCAGACCAACCACAATGCCGTATATGTCTTGATATTGAAGGTGGTTACCATGTAAATATATTTTTCTATTTGATAAGTTTGCTATCACCATTTTGGATGACTTTTCCTTTTTCTGAGAAAACTGAAGACGATAGGTTCAGACTGCAGAGCACAAACTATAAAACTGATCTACTTATGTTGAGGCACTTGGTTGCTTTTGTTTCAGGGGACGACTTAATCGCACCATGCCACTGCAAGGGTACTCAGAAGTATGTCCATAGATCCTGTCTTGATAACTGGAGGTCAACTAAGGTTAATGCTTGTTCTTTTCTATCTGCTCTTGTTCTAGAGTAGAAAATTAGTGATGGAAATGACTTAAGCTGCTTGTGGAATATTCAAGCTTGAAATGCTCAATTAAGGAGAATTTGAGTCTCACATTTTGGCTTGTTTAGGTAAATGAGCTGAGTTTATGCAATAATATAGTGCATCACATATTGGAATTATAATGTTTAGCATAAACATTATTTATCTTTTAAGCATTATTTATTTTGTTTGAATTGATCCAGCCAAACTTGGATGTCAAATTCTCTTGTTGAGCAGAATTTGAGTTTCTAACTGATGCCTGCTCAGGTTGTTCAAATATTCCTTAGAATAAGGAGATTTTAGAAATATTGAATACCTCTGAGTTCATCTGCTTTTTTACATGTAGGTCAACTAAATGTATGATTTTACTATCTTTATGTCGTAAATTTGTAGTTGATGTTGATAATTAATATCATTTCTTGGTTTTTGTTTCCTTTTTCTAGGAGGGTTTTGCATTTGCTCACTGTACAGAGTGCAGGGCATTGTTCATCTTACGTGCCAATGTCCCACCTGATCGCTGGTGGTTGAGATTAAAATTTCAGTTTCTTGTTGCGAGGGATCATGCAATCATTTTTGTAATTGTTCAGTTGGTATGATGATTGACTATCTGTCTATCTAATTGGTCTGGCACTTTTCTGTAACTCTTATTCAATTGAGCTATTTTGAGCTAGTTATCTGCTACTGCCAGAAGTTTAAGAAAATCAAAAGTCAAAGAAAAAATTCTGGGATGAATGTCAACTAAAACTTGTTTTGTCTGTACTTAGTGAATCCTGAGTCTGAAACTATATTTGATTAAGTTACTATGCCACCAGTTTAGTTAACTTAGTTTTCCTCAATTTTCTTGATTCAAGGATACTTAGGTTGATTCTAGATTTACTGTAACTCGGTGGTTGTGTCATCCTCTGGGTTCTAGAGTGAGTGGAATTAGGGTTTTAGTTATTACATGTTAATTTAATTAGTTTATAGTTATACTGTTGATAAATTCTTAGCTTTTAAGCCGCAGCTTGAGTCCTTTAAACATTAGGAGAATTCAGGGGGGTGTGTTTATATGCAAAAGTCTTTATACATAGCACATGCACGTATTGTAACCTGCCAGTTGAAAGCGAAGAATAATAATAAAAAGTTTGAAACAACGTGGATCATTAAGGTGTGATTTCTTCCGTTTTCAAAGTTCATTTGCTTAGGAAATGTAATTGCCTAGGGCCCTTTTATCTCTTTTTTTCCTGTTGTTCTTACTTTATTTGCCTTCACATTTGATACTACTATCATGAGCTGTTTCGTTTGATTGAGCACCTCAAGCCTTGAGGTCTAGCATGTTACCATTGCTTCACTAGAATGTTAAGCCCCAAATGAGCCCTTTAACCTTCAAACACACAGCAGTAGTGCTAATCTGAAGACCTTGGACTGGGCTAGCATCCATTGTATTATCCATTCTGATGTTCCTAGCCCTTAACTTTGAAGTCAAATCTCTAGAAACAACATCAATTATAGACATTTTGCCATATTCTACCCATCATTCTTCCGGTGTGCATCTTAAAGCAATATTCACAAGTCTTTTGTTCCTTGCTTTGTTACTCAGACTTGGGCTCAAGTTTAAGGTGTCGGTATTTTCATTTTTTTTTTAAATCTTCATTCCCTTGTCTATTTTTGAAGTGTCCAACATTCATTTGACACTGTTTAGGAAAAATGAAGAGTTGAAATAACATAGCTTCATTGGAGCTTATTGACTCAACATCTTCTATTTAAACATAACCACTGTTTTTGCTGTGTAAATTTAGGCAGAGTCTGTAACTTGTCAAAAATCCTTTAACTTCTCTTGATGCCTACATTTTGCATCCACGATGTTTACTTTCACTCAACTACTGATTCAATATGAATTACTTGGATCAATTTTGAAGGTTGTTTTGTGTCACAATAGACTTATAACATAAATTGAACATTGCTTGGAACAGATTGTGGCATTCTTAGGGGTGCTGGTCTACAAGTTCTATGGTGAGGAACTAAGAGAAATGTTTGGCTATGATGAACATCCTTATGGATTCTATACTATTTCGGGTACTGTGCTCTCTCTCCCTCTGTGTGTGTGTGTGTGACAAACTCGCATAAAGGCACTCAGGCACCCACATATGGACGTTTCCCTCTTTTATAAAAACTGCTTGAAATACACATTTGCATAATCTTTGAATTTCCGTTGTAGTGTTTATATATGCTTCATTTTTGCCTCCCCTGTATATTACACTTTTGCGTAGTTAATTTTGCAGCATTTTGGTTGTACAGTTTCAATCTATTTAGTGATCATGATGCATGTGAAACTTCATTTCTCTCCTCTGTTTCGGTTTCTGTTATGTCTCTTCAATTTTGGATCCAAATTAATAACAAATTAAGCTTAGTTTACTCGAGTTTCAAATTAATAAAGAATTATAGTTATATGAAATTTATTAAATCAGTTGTAAATAATTGTCTGGAGTAGAAAAATATCACTATTGGAACTTCCTGCAAAATTCCATTGCTGTAAACCTCAACAGGAAAAGCACTTTTTGTTTTCACACTAGTATTGTATAACTTTAATCAACTATTAAGGTTACTTTTTACTGCAAGAAGAACTGGAATTATAACTTGGAAAATATTGCACTTAAATTTAATTTAAGCATTAAGAAGGCATATTACCACGTCAAGTAGGCTTGTTCTTAAATTGCACAGTTGCCTACATGAACTGGGAAAGGATAAAAAATGTGCCATTTTTAGCTGGAATTGGGTAAAAATGATAGTGAACATGTAACTTTTTAACTGTTTGAAACTTCAGGATAACTGATGGCACTCTCTGACATTTTTTTCTGAAATCCTGCGTATAAATGTTATTTTGTTGCTTGAATGAACTCTGGTGGTTTATTGAAAGGTGAAGGATGTTTTGGTAAAATGACAAATAGTATATTATAGCAGAAGAGTCCACTTTAATGCGTGAGGAAATGCTTTATAGATTAAACTAGAAAGCAAAGAACAAAGAAAAACGGTGTGATCTTTTCTAAATATCATGGGCTGAACTTGGGTTCATGCAACCCAAAGGACCAAACCAAAGCAATTAATATTGGTTGTTTAGATCATTACAATTCTTTTCTTTTTTGTGGATGGTTGCTTGTGTTGCACCATTGTACCGAATCCTATATGAGTTCAATCAATGACCATTCTGCGCCTTGTGACACACTAGAAGATTCCATAACTGGTCAGCATGCAGAGTTTACCTTCTTGATGTGATACTATCAAAATAAAGATTTAATAGTATCTAGTATTTTGTTCTTGTGTGCAGTTTTAGCAATTGTTTTGGTGGGTTTGCTCTATGGTTTCTTCATTGCTATTATATGTGGACAGAGGATCAATGAACGTCATTATCACATTCTTGCTAAACAGGAATTAACAAAGGTAGGCGATATGAATTAAAGGAAGAAACCCCAGTTTTGATATTTTGTTTTGATTCGATTTCAGGTTTACACCTTAAGATATTCTAGTTCAAATTAAAATGGTGGAAGACTTTTGTTTCAAGTAAAAGTTGCGAGTGCTATTTGAACATCTAGAGTTGCATTCATCAACTTATTTGTAGAATGAACTTCTTTATGCTTCATTTCATGCTTATTTGCAGAGCTAATCACATTTTAATGTTGCAATATAGTGGTATCCATTTACTAGTTTAACTAAGATATTCTGTTTATTCTAATTATCTTCATGATTTGGGAGGTCTATTTTGCTCCTTCTTCTTTTCTTGCCTTTCCTAGCTTGTCTCCCTGAGATTGTAATCTAATGTCTAGCCAGCCCACTGCCCTCCTTTAACAAAAAAGGGGGCTTGGGCAGTTCTCCTTTATGAATCTTCTGGCTTTGTTTATTAATGTCAAAGCGAAAAATATTTAGCATATAACTTTTCCTGATGGAAGATCATAATGTCAGGAATATGTAGTTGAAGACCGAGAAGATAATAAGAATATCCCGGATCTAGACCCCAGCCATGTGACAGAGCTAAGAATGTTGGGCCTCTATTAATTGGCTAGCCGTGCATTTCATTTGTTTACTGGTGAGCAATTTTAACAATGTACTTATTGATTTTCACTTCTATTAATTTTTTGTCACAAGGCCTTTCTCAAAAATGCATCAGTAATGTATCACTCTCCTTTTGTGGAGGTTGATATATATTGTTAGGGTTGGCCAAGGGTGCATGGCATACTGAAGGTTTGACCTCCGGCTGCCCATCTTCTGGCCATATAGTTGTCTAGTTGAGACATGGTTATAAACATTCAGTGCAAAATGTGTGAATGGAAAAACAGTGGCCATGGATTAGCATGCATCCAGGTGAAGCATGTCATATTAATCTCCCAATTCTGCGTGCATTGTCTGCACATAGGTTCTGTGCCTTTGTATCATTTGGGACGGCTGAGACCTCATACAATTTTTGCAATGGATAGTGATAAGTGTAATGAGGGTTGCTGGTCATCCTTCCCCCCCCCCCCCCCCTCTCCTTATTTGCACCTACTAGATTAAGCATTCACATGTAATTTACACAATTTAGTTCTTGTCATTGGAGTCAATCTCAAAAAATTTCCCTTGTATTTGCTTCAGGTTCTTGCATCTTGTTATGGCTGGGGGCATTCTTGACATACAAATTTAAATTCTCGCAACCATTGAATCGGGAAGTTATACAAGTTGCCGTGCTACATGTGTGGAACTCACCAATGTGCATTAGGCATTGCATTCCATTCCATGCCATCAACCTGCAAGGCCTTGAAAAGTCAGTTTGTCCTTTGAATACCTTAATCCTTATATAGACAATGTTTGTGGTTTTGTGCATTAGTCATTGGTTTCACTGAGAAGCATTTTTATACCTCTGTTCTTTACAATCGTCATTTTGTTTCTTTATACAGATGATAAGAGGAATATGCCAAATGAATAATTTTTTGTTTTTGATAGTTGCAAAATTGCTGAAGCCTTAATGTTACTGAAATCAAGTGTTTCTATGTGCTTAATGTTGCATACTTGATTTTGCAACCAGCACCGTGGCTGATTTGTTTTTCTTTGTGATGATAATCTAAAATATAACATGATATAATATAAAAATGATACGAAAAATATATGAAAATGATACGATTTAAAATTTTAATAAAAATTAGATAAAATTAAGAAATATATATTTTATATTTTTATATCAATATAAATTATTTGATAAAATTAAAAAGTATATATTTTATATTCTTTCAAGGTTTGCCGTTGCTTCCCTTTTTTTTTTTTTTTGTCATACTTTTGATGCTGCCATGCTTCTGCTTAGCGTATTCAGCGAAGCAAGCGAGTTCACTACTACGAGTTAGCGTTATATTTGATATATCATAAAGTTGAAAGTAGGTAGACCTCGCAATTAGCTTAGTTGAGTTGGATTTGAGTCTGATCAATTCAGTTGAGTCATTTTGGGTTTCAAAAAAATTAAATCAATATGATCATTTTGGTTTTGCATTGTTTTGGATTTGGATTATTTTGGATTCATATCATTTTTTATTTCGATTAATTCAGTGTTTAGTCATTGCAATCATTGTATTTTAAATTTGACATTCAAATTATTTAAATTCAGATCATTCAAATTTAAATTATTTCAAACTAAATTTATTAATTTTTAAAATTAAATTAGATTAAATTTAAACAGGTTATTAGATCAAATTCAAACAAAATTTTAGTTTAATTTTCATAAAATATAAAAAGTAAAAACAATAATATTTAAAAATAAATATAACTATTGTAGTTTATATGCTTTAAATTAAAACTAATTTTTGTGTAAATAAAAAAAATAAGCTTATTAGATTTGATAAATTTAAATAGGACACGAAGATATAATATTAAAATGATAAAGAGAAAATTTGTATGAGTTTTAAAAAGATATGTTCCATGTTTAGTCATGATAATACAAATTTTGACATATGTAAGACACAAGAAACCGAGAAATGAATTATCTTAATATAAAATTATCGAAATTGAAACAATTTTAATCTCAAAATAATTCAAATCCGAAAGAATCTGAATCTTTTAAGATCTAAAATGGCATCTCGATTAACTTAACCCGCCTAATTTACAGATTTTAATGGAGACCGATGCTATTGTTAGTACAAGTGTAATCGATTGAGTTTGATCGATATAACATTAAGTTTAAGCTTGATTTTAAATTAGAGGTTTGAAACTCGGTTCGAATTCGATTGAATTTTATATTTTTAATTCAAATTCGACTCAAGATAAAATTCGAACTACTCAAGTTTACTCGACTAAATTCGATTAACATAAAAAATAAGTCTGATTCTTGTATTTAAAAAAACTCAATTATTTGTGTTATGACTTTAATTTGAAATATTTTATTAATTGAAATAATTAAAATATATTAAAATATAAAATTCGATTAAACTCGTGAATTATTTAAGTCGGATATGAGAATGCTTGAACTTAACTTAATTGATAAATTGAGTTATTCAAATTCAAGCTCGACTTAATAATAATCGAGTTAAATTCAAGTTTTATTCAAATCATATTCAAATAACTTTCGAATATTAATATATCATTTACACCTCTAAGTATTAGTAATAGGCATGGCTTCATCGTTCCTCATATTCAGATTTAGATGAAATAGTTGAAGTCATGTCTACCTTCTCCGGATGCGGGGATCCACCTGCAATGTTATAAAGAACTTTATATTCTGCCACTCGTAAATATATTTACATTCTTATGCAGGTTCCTGGCATAGTCTCATTCCAAGGAGAAAACTTTGTCCCTGTCCCTTTCTAAGAGTTGTCACAGGCACAGACAGCAGCAATATAACTTAATCCTAAAACCTTTGTCCATTATCATGTATAATGTAAATGTAAGATGGAGGAACACCAACCAAATAAGCATCCCAAAAGCCAACTACCCTTCAACTTGTCCAGTTAAACTCAATCATCAACGAATTTTTATGGGAAAACATAGAGAATCCCACAGCAATGAAGAATGGTACATTCTTGAGTCAAAAAAGTTGGTGTTACTACCTTCTTGTGAGCTTCGAAGGCCTCATTTGACATTGCATTTGTCCACAAAAACAACAACGCTAACAATGTATAATTTATTGTAAAAAATCACCATTACAGGGTTTTTTTCTCTAAACCAGTCAATTTCTCAACGAGCTGGGCAAGGCCGTAAGATTGGGAAGTGCATGGCGGAACCCAGTAAGAGAATCCGGGGAAGGAAAGGAAGCCAAACGGGTGCAGAATGACATTCAATGCGGTGAATGTCGTCTTCGAATTTTCATAGGAGAGGATTAGAGGACGAAGAATCGGAGGAAGGATCGAAGAAATTGGAAAGGCTGGGTTGGTTGCTTTGGGTTCGGAGGCAAAGGAGACGAGAAAGGAAAGGGCGCGGTTTGGTGATTGGGCTGAGCTTGATTATGGTTCGTGAAAGGGAAGGTGCCATGAAAAAGTGGAGAATGGAGTGTGTGACATCCCACATGAGCGCCATTGAGGCGAAGGCCCAAGCACTAGTGCTCGACTCCAAAATTATGACTAAATACTAGGTGGCAATGTCATAAGTTGAGATTCAAGCTCCAGATTCACATGGCTCCAGTATACAAGAATGAAATCTTCTGCGTTTCAAATCAACCTAACACAAGAAACAGTGCATAGACATTCTAGATTATGGGGCTTGGCCGCTCAGTACGTTACAAAACAAAAGGGCACGGCAAGTGATTGAAAAAAGGCTAACAAAAGAACAATAAAAAAGTTTAAGGCAAGAGTAAAGATGTTATTATTCAATAGTTCTAGTTTCTATGTACATAAGGGTAGGAGACTCTCTATTTATAGCTGAGCCTCCTCTTACATTTAGTGCCTAAGATACATTCCTAAACTCTAGAGATTACATTGGTTAAATCCTTTGATTATAGGAGATGAGATACAATTCCTTACTCTAAGGGATTTGGTGTTGCTGCACAATCCTTGACTTACTAAAATCATGCTGAGCACCGGGCCTTTTAAAAGCCCCCCAAATCTGATCTTCTTAGTACTATGTTCAAGCGTGCTTGCACCTGGGCTGATCGTGCGCTCGCACCTCGATTATCAGTGCTTCCACCTAGGCTCAATTAGGTGCCCATGCATCGCTCACTAGCGCCCGCCTCTAGGCCTGGCATAAACCTACCGAACCTGAACACCTTCAATGAGCCTTTAGAGTCTTGATTACTACCCACACCATTGTTCTAGACTGGTTCCTTGTGACCTAGACCTCCAATGCGCCTTAGGGCCTAGTTTAAACCTATCAAACTTGAACACCTTACATAAGCCTCTAGAGTTTTGATCATTGCCCACATCATTGTTCTAGATTGGTTCCCCATGACCTAGACCTCTAGTGCACCTTAGGACCTAGTCCCCTTGACTATTAGACTCTGTCCCACTAGAACTTGAACTATTACTTCACTCGGAGAGAACCTCTAGGCTTGGACTAGCTTGCAAACCGTGACAGTAGGTTTAAGCCTTAGGATGTACAATCAAGTGTTGAAAATGATAGACCATGAGAGAAGGATTCAAAAAAATCTAGGCGCCAATGTATAGAAGTATCTAAAAAAGCCTAAAAGCCATGCCATGTGTCATAGTCCACATTAATTTGTGAGGTATTATTCGCTTTAACTTTATTAGGCCTTACAATTTTGACTAGACACCTCATAAGTTTAAAGTTGGTGTAAATACTTATATCTCAAAACCAACTCTAGCACACAAGTGATGTAGGATTCATGACTTCTCTCTAAGACCTTGACATCCATAAGCAATAAATCTCATATCGACTGTGTACTAAAGTTAGTCTTAGGGTATAAGTGTTCACACTACCTTTAATTTATGAGGTATTTTTTATAGAATAAAACTATGAGGCCCAACAAGATCAAAGCAGACAATTGGTGTAGGCCATAACACTAGGTGCAGGACTTTTTAGAAACTTTTGGTATGGATAATGTAGAGCTAGTGCCTAGTGCACAGGAATAGAAATTTTTAGAAGGCTAGTGTTTCGAACCTTCTAGATAGTAGCAAACACTAAGGTTTTTAGAACCAACACACTCTCTAAAAAAACTCCATCGACCTAACTTGTCTCTAAGATCTATATAAGTCCAAAAGCTTTGTAAGAGCCACACACTTGGCTCAATGGTGACCACAACTTCTAGAAGGGCTTATACATAAAGGCTTGTAAATAGGGTTATAACATCCCCTTATTTGAGTAAGTTAGCTACACAAGTATCCTAATGTAGATAAGCCACATTGTTATAACAATAGAAAAGTGAGCAAAAACAATAAAGATTTGATACATATATGATCTAAAATTGCATCTAGTTCAACAAAGACAGATGCAAAAATTATTTTAAACATCAATGGAAAAACAAGTAAAATGAGTGAGAAAACGAATGCAAATGGAAATTTTATTAAAAGATTTTTAAAGAGCATTGAAAAACGCTTAAGGAACTATAAAATTGCAATGAAAGTCAATAGAAAATGTTGGAAAACGTTGTTTAGGGACTAAGAAAAAGTAAAATGCAAAAATTAAAATATAGGAAAATAAAGAAAGAAAATTTTAAATCCTAAACTAACTCTTCTCAAATCACCAGCCTTCACCCCCTATTTATAGGTAGAACAAATGAGCTAAGGTCCTACAAATTTCTAGAAAACTCTCCAAGTAGCTGGGCTTCTAGAGCCATTATCTTTCTCCCGGGTACATGGCTTACGCATTAGTGCTGGTTGCTTAGCTTTTCTTTAATAGGTTTACAAGTTGCATTTATGTGTATTTGATGATTTATAAAGTCAAGATAATAGCCAATCACAGCCTTTTAAAATACCAACTCAACCCCTAGTGTCATAACATATAGATCTATAAATTTATAACTAAACTTAACAAGATGAGTCACTACCAATCTTTTTTAACTATTTGTAATTGGTCACCTAATGAACCTATCATTTTAAGGAGCTTCTCAGCTTGACTAAGGGTTCTT